GGCCAGAAAGAGATGAAAAATGGGGTTAAAAAAAGGTGATGCTGCAATGCCTTAGTGCTGTCGGGTCCAAAAGCCAGCTGCACACTTGGGTTTTCTTGGCTCTCCTCTTCCCTTGACTCTCTCATCAGAGTTGCAAACCGGTTCAGCTAATCACATCATTCAATGCTTAGGTCATTTTTCGAAGATTAATTTTTTTTCATCTTTTCAAAAAAAAAAGGGAAAAAAGAGAGAGACCCCAAGTGACGTGATTGTGACCCTGGAAAGCCTAAATATTATCTAAAGTAAATGTTAGGAAGAATTAGTATCCCACTGTGAGTGTCCAGCAGTAAAAAAGGATTTGCTTCTTGTTAGTGCTGTCTCAATGACTGCTGGAGAGAGAAAAGCTGTTCATTTACTGATTCCAGAACTTGGCTTTGGAAAAACTACTTGGTACAGGACACAGCCAGGGGCTATAGTGGGTTAAAAGGAAACTGCGTTCAAAATGTAATCATTTTCCGTAATTTTCTCCATGATTTTGCTGGGAGCCTCTCAGGCTTTCCTGACCAGGATAACTATCCACTTCCACCCAGTTGAGTCAGGTCTTCTCTGTAATCTCCCTGAATATAATCTTTCAGTTGGATTTTTTGGCATCTGCATCACTACATAACCATTGGCTGCCTTCCCAGATGTTAAGTCACTTTGATAAGTGGATGTTAAAAACCACTTTACCTAGCTCAGATTTTGTAGAAAGATGACACAAGAAGAGGAGAAATGTATTCTGTATTCATTATAAAGTTCTTTGCTCTAAAAGAAGAAGAAAATTAGCCACACTCAGAGCTATTAAGACCTGATGTTAGCGTCTCCCCCAGCCTGCTCTGTGCGCCTCTACATTGCTCGCACGTTCCTGCGTGAGCCAGGATTTGGCCACAGACGTGTGCCTGCCCTGTGGCATGTTTTGGCTGGGGGAGAGAGGAAGGATCTGGACATGATTTGTGCCCCACTGCCAGTGTCAGGATTTGGTGCTTTTTTGAGAAAAACAAGGGAGTCCCATGCATTACAACGGAGTTCCCTGTGTAAGCTGGGACTTTTCTGGCCTCAGAATTTATTTCTCAAGATGGGGTTTCTGACAGAAACTTCTTTTTTTTTTTTTTTTTTTTTTTTTAACTTTTTTTCTCTTGTCTCTGGTCTTGGGTTTCCGTTGGCACCATGGGCTGGTGCCACTGGTGGGTCTGGAGGCCCTGCTGGGCTGGCCAGGCTTCCACTGATGCTGCAGGAGGGGCTGCACAGCAGTATTGAGAGGCGGCCTTGCCCTAAGGACCTCGGCAGGAAAGGCAAGACCTTGGCTGCACGTGCCTTTTATCTATCTTCTAATCTATCTATACATTTATTTATTTTAAAGCATAGTGAGCTCAGCACTAGTTCTGGCATTCTGAAAAATGGAATAAACTGTACCACGGCGTAGGAGGAAAACTCCTCACAAAACTCCATTATGTGTACGCAAATTGTCGTCTTGTATCCTGTGTGGCAGGAGAGAGGAACTTCTCTTTTTCTTTCCAAAGGATTGCCCTGCTGTGACAATGGTAACTTAATTTGTCAGAAATTACAAGAACATTAATACATCATGCCCTAATGCGTCATTAGTGCATTAATACTTTCCGAGTCATCGGAGTTTTTCTAATAAATGCCTTCAAAGTCGGCTGGGCATTCATAAATTTGAGTTTTCAGTATGATAATTGTAATTGAGACACCTATTTTCTGTGATTAATTCTTGGAGTCGGTATATAACAGTCAGTGCTGTTGACATTCGCAGCCACCCGCACTTGAAAGAATAACACGGCGTTAGTTAATATTTGCGTTATTGTAAAGTGGCATGATTTAAAAAAAAAAATAATACGGGAGACTGTTCTCAGGGAAACAAAAGAGAATTTTGGGAATGCTTTTTGCCATGGAAACACAGTTATCGCTCATTAATCTGTCACGTATGGAACAAGTTCCAGACTACAACACACTTCAGTGCGGCGGCGGTCCCGGGGGCTTCGCCTCCTCGCCTGCACTCCCTTTAACCTGCCGGCAGCACCGCAGGGGTTAAGGGCTGCAGCCCGCTCCCACAGACCCCATTGTGTGCATGGTTGGCTCCCAAAAAGTGGGGTTCCCCCCAGCTCGGGGCCACCTGAGGGCTGGACCCCACCACCTACCCGCAGGTCCCCAGGCACCCATGGGGTTGGGGGAGCTGACCCCATGGTGCTGCTCTCCGGCTTTTGGGCACGAGGGTGTCTCCAGGAGGAAGGAAGTTTTTTTTCCCCTTGGTTTCCAAGATAAGGTGTCATTCATGAGAGCGGCGTGCTGAACTAATCAGGTTAATTGAGAGGCCCTGAATAGCTCTCATTGAGCGGATCCCTCCTTCCTGCTCAAGGCAGATAGTGCAGACGGAGAGATTACAAGTGCTTTAAACTCTTTCTTGCCATCTCTGAATTTCACACCCATTTTGGGATGATGAGGGTCAGAGCATATGCGTGACACAGGGGCTGTACAATTTAGCTTTGCTGGGAGCGAGGTGTTTTATTTTTTTATTTTTTATTTTTTGTCATCATAATTATGATTATTTCTTAGCGCTGCCAGATCCTCAGATCTGAGCATTTCTCCTGATGCCAGCAATGCCCTACTGATTTACACAGGCTAGGGTGGTGTAAATTGCTCCACCGTTTTTGGAACGATGGAGAGGACTAACCCAGTCGCATGGCTGGCTCTAGATTGACCTGCTCCCAAGTGTTGTTAATATTAAAATTATTTCAGACCTAACTCATGGCAGGGCTGCAGGAAACATTAATTTTAAAAAGATGTTTTCAGTGTTTGAAGCAGATAGCAGTTGGTTTTATTGCTTTTATGGTATCATTTCCCTTTAAACCCTTCTAATCGAAGTGGCTGTACATAATTTTATTCAAGTTTACCAGAATGCGAAAGCATTTCCCTCTGGATGCTCTTGCCAAATTAGGAACATCCAGGCTCCAAACCTCGCTCTAATCTTCCTACTCACCGCAGTCTATTACATTTTCTTTGCAAATATTGTAACCATTAGAGTGCAGGAGAGAGAATTTTCAGGAAAACAAATTCCCCCAAAGTGGAGCCCCCCAGCCCCATTCCCCAAACCAAACTGGTTGCTTGGCTCAATTTAAGCATCAGTGCCTCTGTTGCCCCCTCCCCCCGGCTGCTTTTCCTTGGAAGTTTCAGGAATGACTTTAATTATCTCCACAATCAAATTCTCACTGCTGTCCCTGTGAAAGCGTGTAGTCATGGATTGCTGGGATTATTTTCTTTAGCACTTGGGGATAGAGAAACTGGTTGTTTCAAAATGAGAACCAGCTGGGTTCTCATCGCTGGTGTTTGGAGGGAGCCACACTGCACACCAGCCCGGCGCTGAGCGCAGCCCTGAACCCAGCCCCCAGATAAGTGCCGTTGCGTTTGCCACATGTTATTATGCAATATTGGGGCTGATTTTGTTTAGTGCATCAATACGCATCTTCGGGGTGGCTGCAGGCAGAGCTCGCGCTAGCGCCTCGCAAAACTCGGTGCAAAAACTTGCCCTGCCAGGGACATTGCTGGGCTCCACCTGCCTAAAATGTAGAAAATAAAATTAGCCCCCCGGTAAGAGATATTAGGCATGTGTTCTGCAGATGACAGGTAAGCAGGTAAACTCCTAAAGAGATCGATACAACAAAAGAGGCAGCAGAGAGAACTTCTCTTATCTAACATCTTTTGTTGCCATAGAAGACAAGCTGCAGGGGTGATGCTCTTCCTTTCTTTCCAGCTTGGAGAAATTACTTATTTGTCATACCTTATTAATCTGTTTTAGTGCCAAATTCAATTTGAAATTAGGACCATACATCTAGTCAGAAATTATATGACCTGTGATTTTGGCTGAGTATTTTGTCACAGGGAAAGGTGCAGAAATCTTCATTTGGTTATGAGGATGTAAAATTGGAGATACTTCACTGGATTTAAGGTAGCTGCTCTGGATTTCCATGTTTAAAAGAGACAAAAGCATTCATTTTTTGGAATACAAGGATTTGTATTTATAGTTTACTTACATATTAAAAAGCTGTATAAAATACAGACATATCTATAAAGTTTCTACATTTAAGGGTTCTCTCACACTGGCACACGTGCAAACAGCCTGTGCTTTGCAGCAAACTGTTGTTGGGATGGTTTACATTTCAAATAGTCTCATAGTGTGATTTTTGAAATGAAATAGTGACTCAATCGGTAGCTCATGTTGAAAGTCCAGAAAAGAAGTCTTCCAGTTCCTTTATTATAAAGAAAAAAAAGTTTATAGGAAAGGAAATGATTGATTGCTCAGCTTTGAACAGATACTTTTATATGATTTGATTTCTGTAATGCCTGAAATATAATGACTTTGACTCTATTAATATCCCCTTTAGCACAACCAAATTATTTTTTTGAAAGATGAAACCATTTAGCTCTGAACATGCTTAGATCATACCATGACCTAAATATGCTCATGTATCACACATACATTGTTTTAGGGTTTTAGGCTGAAACAAATATTCTGCAGCCACTGTGAATCTAACATTTTATAGGTTTTCAGTTCTGCACTTTCTCCTGCTGATACATTTATTCAGTGTTTCAATTTATTGTCTTATATATATGTATACACATACTCAGTGTGGTTTTGTATTTTTTTTTTAATCCGGATTTTCTATATATTTTTTTTTTCCTTTCAACAAATAACTGCTGCATTTCCAGTCACTCAAATTTGGACAGAATTTTACTTCCTGTTTCAAAGGTCAAGGAAAGCTGACCTCAACAGCAGTGTTGAGGCTGCTGAATTATTCATATCATTGACTTTGTGTCAGCTTCCACATTTGTGCAGAGGGATGTTTTATTCATTTATCTCATTTAGGGACCTGCTCTGCACCTGTTTCTACCATTAAGTACCCTGTAATTTGCATTTGATGCTAATTTAGTTTCATATCAGCCTGGTCCCCCCTTGTTAATTTAATTTTCTAAGACCCTTTTCATTACAGTAGAAATGTTTCCCTCTTTAAAGCAAACATCTATACAAGTAATTGTGTAAACTGCCTTTTAAATAATATCTTTTAGAAGATTCCATCGTTTAATTCCTTAATTCCTATAATTAGCCATGGTTTGATTAATGTTTCAAAGGGTTAAATTAAAATGCAGAATTACTCAAATGCATACTTGAATAATTTTCTCTCTGCTGATAACAGTTTCTGCACTGCTGCCTTTATTCTACTCATGATTCTGAATATTACGTGTACTAACAAGCGCTAATTTTCCTTATGTAGTGATTTTATTCTGCTAACCAGTAGCTGTTTTTTAAAATATAATTGTTGGAAACTCCGTATTGCCAGCGAGGCACTTAATTTTTCTTCTGAGGGGCTGTAAACAGCTCAGGAGAGATGCTGCAACAGAGGAGCTGCGCTGGGTTGCTTTCCAGATTGCAGGAAACTTAAAGGGATCCTTTATTTTGCCAACAAGCATCGCCGCTGTGCTCTCACAGACAGTGCAACCAGCTCTGGCTGCTACAGACAATAATTTGGGAATGTTTACAACCGTTGCGGATTTGTTTGTGTAGGTGAAAACGTACATATGCTGTGATCCTGCAGGGTGAAGCCTCACACAACTGCCACCTCCAAGCCCATTTAAGCATTTCCAGTGCAGGAAGATGGCACTGGGGTAAATAAATGTCCACAGGGCCTACAGTGGGGGACTCAAGTTCCTTTGCTGCTGCCCATGGGTTCATTTAAAAAAACCCTGGGGAAAAGCAGCTGTGCTCCAGCATAGAGGCATTCTGGCATTAGCTGTTCTGCCCACCAGAAGGTGACAATCCTGCTCCTCCAAGTCCCTCTGATGTCATTGTGAGGCTGGGGAGAGGTGCCTGCAGGTTTGGGCTGAAAAGAGGCTATTCTGTGCCTAGGCTTTTGGGTTGAGCCTGGGGGCTCCCACTGCAAGCAGTGGGTGACTTGGGGCTGGGTCAGAGGCTGGCGTTGGTTGTGATACCCCTAAAGACTGGCTGGTGTTGCTTAATGATGAGCCCGAGACTCTGGCTCTGGTGCTGCTATAGTATGAGGATTGCAAATCCAAAATAGGATTTGAAACTAAACCTCTGTTTTTGCCTTGCCCTTGGGATGTTTTGCCTTTACCCTGGTCACAAAGATGCCTTGTGGGCTCTGTTTGTGCTGGTGGAGACCCCCAGTGCTGGTGCCAGAGGGTCCAGAGTGGGCTGGTTTGGGAGATGCACCCCAAAGTGCTGCTGGCGTGGGGGCACCAGGGGTGGCTGACCCAGCGGGCATGAAGCTGAGTACCCCCAAACCATCACCTCTCCAAGCAGCCCCCAAATTCAGGCATTTATAATTGCTCCCCCTTTATTTTATCATATACTCACAATAACAACCTTAGCGTGGGGTATTTCCTGAGTATTAATGACCAGCTGGGGTTAATGGCCCTTGCTTGTGCCTTCAGCCATCAGCTCCTCCCGACTGGTCATTAATTCCCAGGAAAAGCCCTCTGTGGAGGTCATTATTGCTTAATTATCTCCATACACTTTAATGCCAGTTTTGACAATGTACAGTCTCATACTTTGAGTTATAGGTACTTTATAATTCATTAAATAGCTTATCATTAAAACTGCAGATGATCTTGATTATTATTTATTAATGTTTTCCCTTTGATTTTTTTTTTTTTTTAAATCTGATGCTCCCATGCTGTAGTAAGGAGGGGACAAATGTAGATGGGGTACTGGTGCTGATGCCAAAAACTGTTGTGCTGTGGCTGGCCCTGTCTGGAGGGATCTCCCTGGCTCTGAGACACCCCCTGCCAGCAGCACCAAGGGCTGGGCACCCACACCTGGGCTCTGAGCAGCTGTGTGCGTGGTGAAAGGCTCAGGGCTCAGCTCGTTTAGCTCGTAAGGTCCAGCAGAAAGAGCTGAGAGCAGCGATGTGAGGGCTGGAGCTCCCTGTGCCCGCCCTGCGTCATGGAAGCTCTGGCAGGATCCACCACGCACTTTTTGGCAGTTCTGGCCTCACCTTTCTTCTTACCCTGGACTTGACATAGACTTGACATAGACCTGGGGGCAGCCTTGGGAGCCTTTCATAGCTGGGTGAGTTGTTCATGCACTGAGGTCTTTTGGGGTTCATGGTTTGGCCCTTTTTTTACCAACAGCACCAGTTCTTTAGTGTGTTTTTATGCACTTAGGTGGCATAGAAACTAAACGGGACAGGCTTATCCCAGGCAGAGGGACTTTAAAGTCTACTTTTTAATAAGAAAGTGCCCTCCTTCCTCCTGGGAGAACCTTATCTTTGTCACTCAGGCGTCTCTCTGAGGGGCACGGCAGCTCCTCGCTGCAGCTGCTCTGGGCCTTGCACCTGCACGAGCAGCACCCCGGGGTGCTGCAGCTGCGCTGGGTGAGCACCCGCGTGCTGCATGGCCGTGCCTTGGGTCCCTGCTCCTGTAATGACCTGTGGGCTATGGCCAGCCAGCTTTCAGTGCCAAAAGGAAAAGCCTGAGGAGCTCTGACACGTTCAGGTGCCCTCATTTGGCTAACGCTGACTCTGGGTGAACTTTTCTGGCTTATTTCCCCAGTCATGCAGCCTCCCACCCCTCACGGAGTTCTCCCCTATTTTCTATTTTTTCTTTCCCCCATGCTTCACAAGTGAACTGCCTGGGATTACAGGACACTAAACCCTTGTGTCCAGCCCCTCTGAGATTTTGGTGTGCAGGAGCCCTGCAGGATGCGTGGTTTGCACCAGGGGCGATGCCTGAGGTCGGGGGCTCAGGGGCCACGGTGTTGCCCCGTGCCTGGGGCAGATGGCAGCAGCTCTCCATTAGCCTGAAAGCTCTTCTGGGTATTTGCTCCCCATACGCCCTCAACGCTTACGTTTCTGCCACTCTCCCCAGCCCCTGACAGCACCAAGCTGTTTAGACAACAATAATACCGATTTGGAGCTGTTTTCTGTTACCCTGTTACTCTGTCAGCTTTGTGTTTGCTGGAGGAAAAGTTCTGTGTGGATGTGAAACTAGTGGCCTCGCTGAGCTGTGCCATTGCCTTCGGTGGAGGCCAAGATTTCACCCACCGTATTTGCTTTTCTACCTCTGAGCTGCGTGTGTTTACAAAACCTCCTTCTGAACTGCTATAAACCGCCCGAGCAATCCGCCTCCCAGCCCGTGCTGGCCTTCTCCAAAAACCAGTCTGTTTTGATTAAAATCATAATGTCATTTGAAAGCGAGGAAACAAACAAACCCAAAGCCCTGTGAAAAGTTTGAAAGCAGCGTGTTGCTGCTGAGAAAAATCAAAAAATATATATATAAAAAAATATCAGCAGGTCTCCTGTTACCACTGTCAGGAAAGTCCAACGGCTTGAAGCTGGTGAAGAGCTGCAAGTTAGAGAGGAAAAAAAAAACAACAACAGAGGGCAAAAGGGAGCGATGGTATTTATTTATTTATTTATTTAAGCGCCTAACAGATTTATGGCAGAGCTAATTTGGGAGCGCGCTCCGTTCTAAGTTCCCGCTGTGTGCGCAAAGCCATCGGTGCGCGACGTGGAGGGAGCGGGTGAAGATTTTAGGAGAATGGCAGCAGCCCTGGGAACACGCTGCTGGGTTTTTTTCTCCTCCCTCTCTCTTCTCAGTAGTGGCATTGTAGGTAGCCATGAATTAAGGCTCAGATCGCTGTCTCCTCGCTATAAATCCCGGCCGTGGGGCTGTGCTTACCGCGGGCAGCGGGGCACGGGGCGAGGGGCAGGCGCTGGGGGTGGTGTTGTTAGCGACACGTAGCAGAGCTCCTCCTGAACGGAAAAGCGCTGGCTCCAGATTGTCGCCAGCGAAAGCAGAAACAGAAGCCGTGCGTGTGTGCAGAGCTGGCCCTGCCTGCAGCTGGGGATGCGCTCGCTGCCGGCGCGTGGCTTGGGGAGGCAGCGACCGCGTGGGCAGCGTCGCAACGAGCTGCGCCGCGGGCACTTGTGCATCATGGCCTCTTCCAATACCTTCTTTCTCTCGTTTCTTTCTTCCTCTCGTTTCTTTCATTCTTTCTCACCCTCTCTTCTTTCCTTTTCTCCCTTCTTTCTCTCTCCTTTCTCATTTCTTCTTTCCTCGTCTTCTCTCTCCTCTCACTCTCTCCCTTTCTCTAATTGTTCCCTTGCTAAAAGCCAAAGACAGAATTAAAAATGCTGCTTTGGCACTGTGGTTTATGGCATTCTTCAGGGGTGTTTTCTTCTGCACACTATGTTCTGTATCTTCCTCTTGGATCGTCATCTCTGCGAAAGAGAAAATACTCCTGCTCTGTTAGAAGCTGAGAAGCATGGAAAAATGCTAAGTGTAAGGAACGTATAACACTTCTTCCCTTTCTCAACATCCATATAATTACTGTTAAGCCAAACCAAAAAGCCTCAGGGTTAGAGATCACTGAAGTTTTACATTTCATTGGACAAAAACTGAAGTCAGTACTTAAAAAAAAAATTGGTGACCAATTATGTGTCACAGACTGTAAAACCAGGCATGATATTTTGCTAGGGAAAAGCAGAAGCATTCAGGTTTGTTACCGTATGGAATATAAAATTAGCTTTATTTACATTTATTTCTTTTCTCCTGCTTTGCGGAGAGCAAACTGAGCTATTAAAACTCGTGATATGTTTGTTTTTCGAAAAGAATAAATAGCGTGCATAAAGAAAGCGTCAGGGGGGAATGTACAGTGATGATGTTGCCTTTTTTTTTTTAAGTTTTAATTTCAGGGTGGGAGCACTGGAACTGTGTTGGATGGGAAATGTATTCAGGCAATGAAAGGCTGCATTTGAATGCAGCTTTTTGTTTACATTTTCAGCAAAACCAAGATGACACAGCTGGCCATGTTCAAAGTGAAATAAAAATAGGATTGAATAAATAAATGGTAGTGAAGAATAGTAGTAAATAAAAATGAAATACAGCGAGCGGCATGCTGAGCCTCGTGGAAGGCACCCCTCACCTGGCACAGTGGGCTCAGGGGACAGGGGCAGCTTGGTGGGGTGGCACTGGGACATGGGGAGAGGCAGCAGCAGCAGAGCCCTGTCTCCTCCGCACAGCCTCGTCCCCCTGTGCTGCAGCCCCAGGAGCCCCATTTTGACCAGGTCAGGTGTCATCATGCTGCTGAGAGCAGAACATTTCCCTGTGTCTCTTGGGGCATAGTGTTGAGTTGAGAAGGGGGAATTTTGGCTGAGGCTCTACCTTTTGTGTTAGCTTCAGGAAAGCTTCTTCCTCCAGAGGAGGAGGCGGCTTGGGTGGATGCCTTTGGGGGAGTTTTGTGTCGTGACCCATGCCCGGTGTCCTGGCACACCTGTAACCCACTGGGGCTCAGCGAAGCACTGCCCGGCTGAGTGCCACGTGCAGGCGGAGGAAGAGGAGAGGAGGCAGAGCCTGGGAGGCTGCTGGGGGTGGGAGCCCTGGCAGTGGCAGGCAGACAGACAGAGATAGATAGCAATTAGGATCGAGAAGCAGACTGGGAGATAAGGAGTCACTGAAGATTTACTGGATGTATATGGACAGCAAGAAAGAGCGAGTACATTGGGAGCAGAGAGGGAGGTGTGTACGCACAGTAAATCTCCAGTGATGCCATATCTCTGGCTGCTCCTGCATCCTAATTGCTATCTCCTTGGCTGCCGCTTTCTGGCCCCCAGCCACTTTCTCTCCATTTCTCTTCGTACCTCGGCTGCCACCTTGCTGATCCAGGATTAGGCCCCGCAGGCTTACGGCTGGGCAAGGTGCTGGAGCAGAGAGGTTTTCCCAAATCTGCTGTGATTTGAGCTCTGCTTTCTGGGGCCTCTGGTGAACCCTGTGGAACAGACTGGAGCTGGAAGTGCTGTGGGCTTGCTGCTCATGCTCGGAATTTAGGGCACAGTTGGGCCATCTGCACTGCTGGGCTGCCCTTGGTGTTTTCCTCACCAACGAGACCCCAGTGCATCAGCAAACCAGGAATCAGTCGGTTACTTTTGTATTTGGGAGAGGAATTTGAGAGGTGTCCCTGACAGCCACCCTGGGGGTGAAAGGCAGCTCCAAGCTGCAGCTCACTGCCCCACGTTAGCAATGATCTCACTGCTCTTAAATTGGCTTTTGGGATCTCTTTCTTCACTCTGGAGCAACCTGGAAATATCTGAGGCTTTGGAAAGAGCTTTCCTCTCCTTGTCAGCATGCATATCCACGTAGATTCACGTGGGATTTTTCTTGGGTCAAATTCTATTTGCTTTAGCAACGTGAGTAGCCCCAAGGAGCCTCTCACGAGCAGGATTTGCCTCCTTACGTCAAAAGATGGTTGTATCTGCAGCGCTGCACTGAACCTTGTGTGGCTCCAACTTGTAAGGATTTCTTTTTCCTGCCAGACAGGAATTAATGCTTCTTTGGAGTATCTTATTCTTTCGTGCGTCTTGGAGATCATCTCTTGATTTGCTCAAACTCACATTAGTGTACCAGTAATGCTTAATTAGAATAGTTCTATATCAAGTAAATATTTTCTTAAATGCATAATTGATTGTGTAGGGAAGGAAGAACTGCAGGAATGGAAATCATACATCATTTCATTATTAATGGCAATGTCTAAATAAAATGCAGACCTTGTCATATTTAATGGATGGCTGAGTCCATTCTGCTTTAAAACACAAACTGTTTTTTTTTTTTTTTTTAAAGGTGCCTGCATAATTTCAGCCAGTTTAGGTGGAATTAAATATACCCATAGCTGTGTTTGTGTGTGGGGTTAATTTTGTAGAACCTAAAGTAGGTTGTCTCAGTGCAAACTGGTAAGGAAATAGTCTTGGCATAGGGTTGAAAATTAATATTCTCTTAAAAAGATTTTTCCCAGAATAAATTAATTTGGGGATTTTCTTGAAAACAGCATAACACCTAATGAAAGGGGTTTATTTTTTTTTCATATTATATATAAAATTGAAACTGGTGGAGCTGTGCAGATTTACACTTGCTGTAGCTGTGGTCCAAAGTGCTACCAAAGAACAAATTCTGCTTCTTGCCATTTTATTAGCTGTGACCTCTGACAAGTGATGCTGAGTCCAGATGCTGGAGAAATGGTCTCAAATGGATGGAGCTAGAGTAGGTGTGAGGGGATGAAAGCCCTGGGCTCCAGCA